CAACTTGATAGTTATGTTCATAAGTCAATATAACATCATTTTTATTACAGTCATAAGTTTTCACTATCTTATAAATAGAGTCAATTTTTAAAAAACGTTATTCTACTATAACTTTTCGAACACTCAACGGTGTTCAACGGATAAATATAGTGTTCATCTTAATTAAACCCGTCCAAAAAACAACCTCCCTAAGAGTAAACTTAGTAATAATATTAATAAATTTTGGATAAGAAAAAAATCTTGATTATATTAACATTATTATTTACTATTTTTATATTTGATTTAAATTAAAGACAACAAAAAACTTGGACCCGAGGGAAGATTTGGATCCAGTGATATCGCAGTTATGAATTTGTGTCGTTATTTATTACACTACCGACGATTCATATTAGAAAATGAAATTAACTGGTATATAAGAATATTAATAAAACTTCTTTTCTCTTGTTTTGGATAACCTGCTATAGTATACATTCTAATAATGCTATAAGAATTTATATTTTTGCTAATACAAGGTACACAGATTAGATAGTTTTTTTTTCAAGTATTTTTAATTTATTCGAAGATATGCAACTTAATGCATGCTAAGAAGACTGTGAAAGATTATTTCAAACAACTCGAATGTTTATAAATTATATTATTGTTGTTGTTGTATATATATATACATATTTTTATTTGAAAATAATTATTTATATTCATGCGGAGACATATACTCTTGTACCTTTAAAAAAAAAATATCTTATTTATTATACTATCAACTATTAAAAATTCTTATTGCTTTTGTTAACATTATTAAAATTATTATTTCATTTCTGTTTGTACACATTTCGCTAATTGTACACACTCCACAATAATGAAAATAGGATAAATTCCATGTGTATATTACAGTTATTTACGATTAAAAAACATAAATCAACATCTACATGATTCTAGAAGATTTTCAGACATCATGGAAAGATAATATTTTTCACCATACAACTCTCCAGTACAAAATTGTCAAGTATTGACATATTTATTTAATACTCTCACCTTTTTAACAATCTTTTATTATTTCTATAGGCGTTTCATTGTGTTTGACTAGAATTTGTTATTGAATATATGTAATCATCGTTTTCACATTTTGTAGATATTCATTCGACATTACACTTTCTGTATTCTGAAAAAATATAAAATAACGATGTATAAAATTCATATATTGAACAAAAATTAAGAAATATACAAAAACATATTATTTAATGAAATATACATGTACGGTACCTTCAAGAAATCGAAATTGAATGTTTCATCGGTTGGAATTGGTGCTATTTTAGAATGCCAAATACTAAGACATTTTGTTAAAACCATATCGCTATTGTAATCGGCGAGTTCTTTATACAAATTTATGCAACAGTTCTACAAGAAATATCATATAATTAATTTCTCTTTTTTATATGTTATTAGATTATTCAATGGTAATATATACTCTACTTGTAATATTGGATGTTGACGCGAACTAAGATATACTTCTGTAATACTCAATATATTCCATAGGTCTTTTTCAATAAGTTTCAGATCTTTTACTATTTGTCCCAACGTTGATAATAATTCTTTTTGAAGTTTGTACATTTGTGTAAACTTATAAACCGCATCGGTAGATTTGTTGTAACTTTCTTTAGCAGATTTATTCATAAAATATGATAATGCCGGTAGTATTTGTCTAGATTGTTACGAGATAATTAAAAGATTCGATTAAAAATAAAAATTCAATTTTTATCTCACAAAACCAAAAAAAAAAACAAAAACAAATGGACTTACTTTAATGTTCTAGACCTAATGAAATCTTTCGAAACATACGCAAGTGCGCGTAATAATTGCCATGAACGATTAAAAACAAGTACATTTTGATCCTTAAATCTGTCTACTAATGGATGCCATATTTGATGTACGATTGGTAATAATTGATTTTCCCATTTAATTAAAATTGGCAAACCTTCCTCTAAAGTTAACATAGCGATAAGTAATTGCTTCATATCTTTTGAAGGTAAAAAATGTAAGCAACTTTTCAAAACATCTTCGACCATTTTTATATGCGTTGGTAAATTATTCCTTTCCTCTTCTATAAAGGAATACAAAATATTTTTTATTTATGATACATGTAAATTATTTACAAAATATATACGCATACCTTCTTCCTCGGCCATTGAATTCATTTCAGATTCCTCATCTGGTTTCTCCGTATTTTCTTCATCCGTAACTTCGTTGTTAAGATTTTGGTCAATTTGTTCTTTTGCTTTTCTTGCTTCATAAAATTCTAATAAATTTAATGTAATAATTTCATGTGGTTCCTTTTGAACTAACGTGGGCGATGTTCGTGTTACATCTGCGTCTGGTTTTGCTGTTAATTTCTTTATACACAGTATAAATATATAAAAAACGTTTAAAAAAGAAAACGTATTTCGTTTTTGAAAAACAGTATTTAATTGTAGAAGAACATCCTGTACAATTTCTTTTAAACACGGTAACACGTCCATAGAACTATATTTCATGACAGCTTTGACAACATCAAGGACTCCTGGATTTCTTTCTATTCTACGTAGCTTAATAGTCACATGATAAGAAAAATAATCTACATTTGCCCGTAGAAGATCTCCAATTGTTTCATATTTTAGCGCTTTTGCAATATTTTCTAAAGTTTCTATTCCTACTCGACTTATAATACTATTTGTACTTCCTGCAATAAAAATATAATTAAAATAACATATATGTATGTGTGTATAGAAGCATGAAAATATTAAGAATATATATTATATACCAGCTCTTTCGATAACAAAGTATAATATTTTCAGAAGAAATTTTTCGAAATCGCGTCCTAAATTCTTAGCAATTTGTCCTAAGCCTTCCGTTAAAAGGCAACATTGTACTACATTATTTTGTGCAACGCGTAACGGTACATCCTCTGTAACTTCGATAGGTAAATACCAAAAATCTTCAGTAATATAAAATTCAATAATTTCCTTATACAATGACAACGTTGACGTATTATTGCATGTAATGGGAACTGTAACATTACAAAATGATAGATTCAACTTGGTTGTAGAAAAATTGAAATTTCTATTAATTTAATTTTCCATTATTATATATAATTTAATTATCAATATTCTTGTCCACAAATATGTTATTAATATATAAGTCTCAAAGGGAGTTATAGACGGTTAATAAATTTTATGAACAATTAATTTGAACTAGTTGTACGTTTCGTCCCTTATTGGGGACTTCATTATATGCTGACAATTTCAGTAATTCGTTAAGCCAATTTTTTGTATGTCTCATAGTTATTAAGTCATAATTAGTTGATAGATAGTTAAAGAAACCCCTCGGCATTTTTTAATTTAATTATCAATATTCTTGTCCACAAATATGTTATTAATATATAAGTCCCCAGTAAGGGACGAAACGTACAACTAGTTCAAATTAATTGTTCATAAGATTTATTAACCGTCTATAACTCCCTTTAAGACTTATATATTATATATAATATTTGTAATTTACCATTTACTATCGAATTAAGTAGATATATTAATTCTTTCCTATGTTGTGGTACATTATACATAGCCTGAAGAATATTGTCGACTAAAATTCTTAGATCGCTGTACATTCCCAGAAGCTCGCATATAGTAGCAATTTTCTCTTTACAATAAATATCCTGTATAAACTTCAATTGTTTCCATGAATGCGTTGGGCTGCGATGATTCAAATCATCAAGATCTTTTACACCGAAATCTTCTAAAAGAGTAATACCATTGCAATCTATTTCAATGATGTATAAAAGAGCTTGTATCAATCTCCGTACGTGTGCTGCAGATTGTATAGTAGCTGGCAATCTTTCTTTTCCTAGTAATCTTAAATATCCACAAAGGTGATTTAAACCTACTAGTTGTTCGCTATCATCTGTAAATTATTAACATTAAACATAAAACATGTTAAAAAAAATATTCATTCTTGTTATTAAAATGGTGATACATAAGTAATATTAAGTATATCATTCCTACCAGAACTTCTTATGATGCGTGGCAATTGCGTAAGTAATTTATAAAAACTTTCTTCTAATAATTCAACCAATGGTTTCATATCTATTTTCCGCATATAAGATTCATTAATTTCACTTAACATTTCCTTAGCTTCTTTTTTAACTTCTTCGTTGTCATCTTCAGATAAGGAAATCAAATATTCTATTAGCTCTATAATGCTTGGCTTCATATTTCTTTATAGAATGAATATTATGTCAATAAATAGTCAATTCAATGAAAATTATATTAATTATTTATTATTAATATTAACCTGGCACACGTTGCTATTAATAAACTAATACTTGTAGTCAATTCTTTTCTAACTTTAAAATGAGAATGTTTTCTTAAAGGATTCATTGCTCGTACAAGTACGTTTAATTTAATAGCTGTGGCATTTAACCACTCTTGATTCCTTTCTGTCGAATTTAAAAACTTTTCAACTCCGACAGCTCCTTCACGATGTAATTTATTTTCTACCACAGCTCCTTCACGATGTAATTTATTTTCTAACGGATCAATTACATTCATTTCTAATATTCTAGTGAAAAAGTCCGAAGGCATATATTCATCATTGAGCTTATCTTGCATTACAAGACGTATTATCCTAGCCCATGCTCTAATGGCCATCTAGAATAATTTTAGTCAATCAAGTATATCATTTTTATTCCATCTATGTATATATCCATATATAATAAGAAAAAAAAGTATGATAAAAAATAAAAATCTTAATACCATTGTAATTTTATGACCTTGAATATCGCTTCCCAAAGCAACTTCCTGCAATCCACTAACGATACCTGGTAACAATAACATTATAGTTTTTGCAACTTGAGATACCAAGACGATATCAAATTCATTGGAAGAATCACCTACATAGCATAAAGCCATTACGGTTTCTATAGCTATTAACCTGTATCATAAAACAATTTCATATCGTTACAACATATTATTTGTAATATCGATAAAAGATAGAAAAGAAATAAAATAATTTTTTTAATAAACATTTAATGATATATTACCTCAGGGAACGTGATTTTTCGTATTTAGCAATTGATACGCATAGATATATACCGTGAGCAAGTTTGGGTGCATGTTGTCGTGTATATAATTCTTCAAGGACATTTGTAAAAGAATTATTTAATAAATCCTGAAGACAGAGAAGTACTATTTCTTTCAATTCTTCATAGCAAGGAATAACTGTAAATTTACTTACAGTTATAAAAAGACTTATATCAGCATTAGTTTAATTTAATAAATAAGAATTGTTACATACCTTTCTGTGGTTCGTTCTTGTCATAAATTTGAGATAAAATAATAGTATATAACTTATCAAAAGCTTTATACTTTGTAATTTTGCCTTTTGATAAAACAGTTCTTATGATTTTTACTAAATATTCTTTGGAATGTTTACTAAAAATAAATGAACAAACAAATAGAATAGCAATATTCTTATTGAGGTAATTAAAATATATTATGCATTACTATATTACCTGACATCCTCATTTTGTAAATGTACAATTGCAGGAAACAAAATATAATCCAATAAATCTTGAATAGCACCATTCGAGATTGTTTTTATACAATCAATAACCTCCAACGAACATTTAATACTTGGATCTTTCATTAATGAATCGCAAAGCGGTTTAAGTGCTGTAAAACCTTTTTGAAGTTCATGTCGATCCATAATTTATAAACAAATAGAAATCTATCAATTTTTATCTTCGTTAACGTAAATGCGATAGTCGTAAAATGTATGTAAATATCTTAAGCGAGTGCTTTTATTCGTCTCCTTAATTTGAGGTTATGTTTTTGCATCGTCGTTGATAGAAAGATTTGTTTACGTGTACGGTCGGTAATAGTCGGAATCTACTCTCTTTGATAATCTGTCATAAAAGATTTCTTTCTACCTTATCGACACGACTTTTATTTTTTGAATAAAATTAATAAATATCTTTCAAGTAATTTATTTTTAAAGATACATAATAAAACGGTTTGCTGTCTAACAATTAAATAGTAAATTATTATAAGAATAAATGTTAACACATAGAGAAATACAGACACTACAAATTGAAGACACTTACCAGAGAAAAATAATTTCATTCTAAATAGTAAAATATTCCTTATAATTATTTCTGTATCATTCTTTTACTTTTAAAGTCCTCTGAATTTAGGAGACAGTTGTGACCTTTTTGCTATCCGAATTCATGTTCGGTGAATTCTTCTTGAAAGAAAAATTATTAAATTCTGTAATGGAATTATTTAAAAAAATTAAATTCTTTAGTCGAATGTTGATAACGTAGTCCTTCATCGTTGGATATTTAATTCTAATTATTAACTTATTTGTTGAATTTTTATTATTATCAAATTTAATTGTTCAAGGTAATAGTTGAATGTTTAATTTTAATATATTTTTTTATTAAATGTAGGTATTATTTCTTAATTTATATTCCAAGTTTTTATTAATGTAATTCTATCATGTAATAACAATCTGTAAAAATGTTATTAAGTTTTACATTATACAATAAATCAGTAATATTCGTTTCCGAAAGATTTATTTAATGAATTTATGTTGTTATATTCAATTTTATATTTCGCATAATTTTTCAGCAAAATTGTTTATTTTGTATAAAAATTAAAATGATAAAAAATTAAAATAACGTACGCAACGAATTGTATATTTAATTTCATTTTGTTCACAATGAAATTATACATTGAAAATAATTTGAGAAATTAAATTTAATAGTTTTACGGAGTATGATAATACTTGAAATGGTCAAAAAATATAGCCACACGGAAGTTATCACATCGAAAAAATGAATCTATTGTCTTTTTTGTTGGTAAACAAACTATACAACGTTTACGAACTTTCCGTACGAAAGTTGTTTCAATGCATAAAAGAAAATGTTGGTCAGTAAATCTTGATGATAATAATGAACACATAATGTAGTGCTTTTATTTTTGCTTTATTTTATTTAATTATTTCTTCTGTTAATTTTTGCTCTATCTCTATAAATATTTTTGAAAATAGCGTAACTATTCAAATATAAAAATATTTGTTTATAACCTTTCTAAAATTATCGTATAATATGGAATTTGTTAAGAATTCGATTTCTTCCATCAACTTCACCTATTGCTTTTATTATAATCCAACACAACTGTTGATTTTACATCATAACGTATGCATTATTATTCAGTTTTCATTTCATTTCTGTTTCACGTATCACGTACTTTAACATTTATGTTTTGTTTTTTTTTTTTAAGATTGGTATAACAAAAAATTATTAACATATAACGTATTTTTCTCACCCAATAATTTTTGTTTTCCCACACATTTTCGTTCGGCATAAGGTTGTAAAAAAATATCACGTTTAACTTGTGAAATTTCGTTGTATCGAAGAACATTTAGTAAACGCGCAAGTCCATTAAAATCCATATAACATCACTGTCGGATTAAATAATAAACACTTTTGTTCTCTAACGTATAATTTTACCGATAATTAATTATTTATAACTAAGGAAGTTTTAATACGTTATAATTACAAGTCCCTTTTAACTCTAACTGCAACCCTTTAGCCACTTGAAACAGACTTCTTTATTATATAGTTGAAAGAAAGTAACAGATCAAAGTAAAAGACATTTAATATTGTAATACACGTAGAAGGTAGAACATGATGTCACAGGATTTCTATCACGAAGACAATTATAAAGAGTATTATAAAGTTTTAAGATTCTTTATGCGTATATGCGGACTATGGCCTTATCAAACGTTACAAGTAAAATGTTTCTGTTACGTGATGACTTTATTCTTAACTGAAGGAGTTCTCATTGGACAGGTATATAATTATTCGCATACACATTCTTATATAATAATATAATAATCATTTTATTAAACTTCGAAGTCTAAAATTTAGACCTTTTTTTTTTTATAATATTCTAACAACAATTAAAATGATTTCTTAATCGTTCACAATCACATTCGTATGATTTTATACATTCTATATACAGCGGTGGCCATATTGTGGTTGATACTTGAAAAATTGATATTATTATTATTATTGAATTGCAAAATTAAATGCAATCATACGATAGTTGCTTTCATATATAGTATGTGTAAGCATTACTGCAGTACGATAGTTAAAAAAACTTTTACTAATCTTTTAATATTAACAAGAATAAAAATTATTTAAGTTTGGGTGTAATATTTTACGGACGCATAAATAATTTTCATAATTTGCAATATTTATTTAATTTTTCAGTATTTATACGTTATTAATAATATAATATCGTTGGTATCAAAAAAAAAAAAAAATAAAAACAACAAAACCGATTTAATTTTTTTAAAAATAATTTACTAATCTTTTTTTAATCCAGTTATCAAAATTGATAGAAGTTCGCGATGACATGGAAGAAGTTATTGATTGTATACCGAATATTCTGATATCATTTTTTTGTGGGGCAGAGTTCTTAGGACTTTTATTTAATTCTGAAAAGGTATATATACATCTCATTTAAATTTATTATTAAATATTGTATATATTTAATGAATGAAATTCTTCGAATGATCGTCACGTTAAATCTATTTACACAGTTGAAGGAATGTATCGATACAATTTTTGATGATTGGAAATATTTGTCTTCAAAAACGGAGATTGAATTATTAAAATCGTATACTTTACAAGGAAGAAAATTAGCCATTCTTTACTTAAGTATGACATAATCAAAATATATGATTCTAATAATAATAATAATTATTATTATTATCTGTGGGCCGACTCGTTTTACATAATTACTGTAAAACTATTGTACACCAGATCGAATGTTTTTTTTCATATAAAAATAAATATTTATTTATTTTATTGTATGGTATTTTTATTTTTCGTTTTACGGATTAGAATTACTTTTCCATTAATACCATCTCACACTTATTCAATACTATCAAAGAGTTCACGTCTTTTTACCACTTTCTTTGGAGTTAACAGCACGCACCTATTATTTTTTTGTTTCAATACAATTCACTTTTATTTTTCGATGTAGTTTCAAAACTTTGAGAAAAGAATAGGGTGGAAACTTTTTAACTTATTCTCGAACAACTTACATGTATATTTCTAAAATTACAACATCCCGACGTTTTTAAGCCACGATCTGCTATTGATAATAATAATAATAATAATAATAAAAAGATTTAATTTATCGTAATTTTCATTGCATGTTACAGTTTACATGTCGTTTACTGGTTTCATGTTCATTCTGCAACCGATAATTACAATGTTGAGTTCAAGTTTTGATAACTCAACAAATATATTGGAGACTCTTCCGTATCACTTGCGTTATGGCAATCTCGATTTCGAAAAACATTATTACAAGATACTTATTCATTCTTACATTTCTATAATGTCTCATATGCTCATTTCAGCTTCTATAAATTTAATATACATATCGTTCATTCAACACGCCTGTGGAATATTTGCCGTGATCGGGTAAGAATCAGGTCTCATTTTTATGATATAAAATGATCAAACGTGAATATTATTATAGAATTCGTGAAAAAAATTGAGCCAACGAACTAACTGAACCGAAATTCGAGCCCAGGATTTTTTCTAACAAATGTTCTAACCATTAAATATCAAAGAAATTTCTTATTGGTCATTATCAAATTGTGGGCGTTCCTACGCGTAACCGGACATGAGTGTACCAAAAATAAGATGACTAAAAATGTAAACCTAATATTTTGTTTCTTTTTTTCGAATAATTTCTAATTAACTTTTTTACCTATTACTAATCTTAAATAATAATATCTAAATTTATGATCAAGTTAACCTAACTTTTTATATATATTATTCATTCTAACCTCAAATAATAAAACGTTATCGCATGAGGACGTTATTGGTTACGGCACTGGTTTATGTAAAAAGTGATAGAGAAGAAGGGGCCAAAAGAACAACCTAACCTATAATATTATATTAAATAATGACGAACTTCAATCTGATTGGCTGTACACTCATAACCGCTGACATGTTGGATTCCTGAAGTCTTTAATACTTAAAGGGTTAAACTATTCAAAGGATTCTCGGTCAATTTTTTCACGAATACCTATCATATATTATATATATCAATGTATTACTGCAAGCATTGTATAGAATGCCCGATCAATCTATATACTGGTCTGCTTATAAATGTAATATCTGATGACTCTTTTGTAAATAGATAATTTAAAACTTTTTGTATCAAATAGAAACTTTCTTGATGGAAAATAATTGAATTAACAAGTTGACCCCCGCATGTATTATCAATTGTTCATACGTAAATTTAACTTTTTATATGTTTAAATATTAAAAATATTTATTTTATAACATAAATTATGCAATTAATTTTCTCAATTTTGTGACCAATTGTAAATCCATTATTATAATTATAGGCACAAAAATATTAAGTTCTTAGAAGAGTCTGATAGAGTTATAGAATAATGTAAACCCCATGAATTTTCCTTTTGTTAATAATTAAAAGCTAGTAATAGGATATAACAAGTATTTTCAGGTACAAGTTGGAACATATTGGCGAAGATGAAAATTCAGAAATCAGTTTAAACGTTAAAAAGATCGATGACAAAAATTATTGGACGGCTTTAGACTGTTTACGAAAGCACATTAAAGTTATAGAGTTGGTATCAATATTATATCGTTTGTTTCTCTTAAAATACAATTGGAAATTTGTATTTACAGATTTTCCGAGCTCATAGATGGATCATTTTCGGCTATGTTTTTATTCACCTTAGGACTCCACGTGTTAATTTTAGCTGTTTCCGGTACACAGGTAATAGAAAATAATAATCAAATAAATAAAAATAGAACTATTATTATAAGACATACGTAAAATAAGTTTTGTACTTTAATTTTACCCATTTGCCAGTCAAATTGGAAAGCAAAAGGATGAAAAATATTTGCAAACGGAATGAATTTAATTTGCAAAAGAACGAATTTAAAGTGCAAAATATATATATTTTATCTATTTATAATTAATTTTTTTTGTAGGTATTAATACATTCTAATGAAATAATCAAAGCTGTGAGATTCGGTGCTCTTTTTGTATCTATAATTATCCAACTCTTATGGCAATGCTGGCAAGCACAGCTTTTATTGGATTATAGTGATTTACCTTACAGCAGCGTGTGAGTTGAAATCTGTGTATTAAATTATAAACAAAAATTACATATACGTATTATAAGAACACGTTTATGTGATAATGATTTTCTACAAATATTTAATAAACACGTATGTATATATATACACGTATATATTACATGACAATTAAAATAAAGTTATTTTAAATACATACTGTTCGAGAATAAACTACAAAAGAACGTATAGGAGATGGACGAGACAGGCTAATGTGGACTGTATTTTTCTTAATTTCTGGTAGAGTTTGTGTGTAACAAGATTTATTAGATATTATGTACAAAGAAATAGAGATGGCGAGAGTATAATAGATTTTTTATGCCACGTGTACCGGAAGTACGTGGCACGAGAGGCCGATG